TTCCAGGGGCTTTAAGTTGCTACTGATATAAGATGTTAAACATTCTTGAAAGAGATGAAGGAAAAATGTTACTCTTTATCTTATCAAAGAAAATATTAGTGAAACATAGAGCTATCATTTAAGGTTTCACAAATTTGTCTTAAGTGTCATTGAAGAACACATTTATTCCAATTGCATCAAAATTTCAAAATAAGATAAAGAGGCCTGGAGATTTATCCAGCTGGACTGCAGGTTACTGAGCTGTTTTCTCTTTATTGTCAATGTTGCAGTATGTCTGGATCAGGGTTCTATTTTTCACCACTTTCACAGCCCATTACATTATGATTTAAACTAAAGGGGAAAAACACTATTTTGAGTCGATTGAAAATGATACCAGTGTAACAGATGATTCCTGTAACTTCATTAACTAAGGACGTGTGCTGGAATGGAGCTAATTAATTCATTCTTCCCACACTATTATAAAGCACCTCTCTGGTGGGTAATTCAGGCCCATGCCATCAAATCATTTTAGAAACAATTCTTATCAACCACTACTAATAATACATCACTACAGTTATGCAATAATGTACATGACCCACACATATTTATGTCAATTTGCCACAATAACAATGGAGCGTCATCTTGTCTATGAGAAGCACAAGGCATCGCTGTGCTGCATGAGGCTCAGACCATCATTTACGAGACAAACATCAAGCCTCTTTGAGCCGAAATAGTCTTCTACTCTGTGCAAAAGACATAATAAGAATCACTGCAAAAAGGTGTGATTTAGATCAAAAACATCGTGGGAGGGGGCATTCTTGGAGGGCTCAAGAAGTAAGCATAGAAAGTGATGTTTGGTTCTAGATAGGAAAATGTGTAGGCACAATAATTAGTCAACATGGCTAATGACAGAAAAAAACAATTACATTGGAAAATTCCCTAATGATTGGGGGAAAGTTGTACTGACTTAAATACAGGGCCAGACATAAAATATCTATGATACAAGCTGCGTCATTGGCTTTCCATTTCTAGGAACTGGAGAGAGAATTAGCTACAGCAGAGAAAAGACAACAGTTAAATTTAAATTTGGAGGTAGGCAAGAGACATTTTACGAATTTTTTTGGAGTTATACTGTATTAATAGAATTGTGGATAGACTAAGGACTGTCATGCTATTCTTGAAAAAGAAATCTTTACCACTATTGCTGTATGACAAGGTTAACAGTTATACCAAAAGCAACTGTGAATATAAAAAAATAAGAAAAATATTCTCTAATCTTGGCCAGGCCACAGTGGCTCACACGTGTAATCCTAGCACTCTGGGAGGCCAAGGTGGGTGGATAGCTTGAGCTCAGGTCTTCAAGACCAGCCTAAGAAAGAATGAGACCCTTTCTCTACTAAAAATAGAAAAACTAAGGCAAGAGCATATCTTGAGCTCAAGAGTTGGAGGTTGCTATGAGCCATGATGCCATGGCACTCTACTGAGTGAGACAGCTTGAGACTCTGTCTCAAAAAAAAAAAAAGAAAAAAAGAAAAAGAAAAAATTCTTCTTATCTTAATGACTAAATAGAGAATCCTGAAAGAGACCCATGCATGTGTATGTATCTGTTATATCATTAAAGGAGACATTACAAATACATTGCGGAAAGTATTTAAAAATGACTTAGAGGTAATTTACTCTATATTTGGAAAAATATGAAAACTAGATACATACCTCACATGATATAAAAATATATATTTTAGAAGGAATTGGAGGTCAACCTGAAGAAATTTAAATTATAAAAGCACATAGGAGATTATATTCATAATCTCAAAAGCCACAAGGATAAGACTAAGTACTTTATTGTCATAAAACTGAAAAAGCTGTTCATAAAACAGAAGATTAGATATAGTGAAAAATGATTCAGCAATCTTACTACTGGCTAATTATGCCAAGGAAAGCAAATCATTATATTAAAGGGGAGATAACTGCATGTATGTTTATTGCAGCAGTAGAATCAGCCTAAGTGTCCCTCAGTGGATGAATGGATAAAGAAAACAGGTCGTGTATACAATGGAATACTACTTGGCCTTAACTAGGATTAGATCCTGTCATTTGCAGCAACATGGATGGAACTGGGGGTCATGATGTTAATTGAAATCTGGCAGGCACACAGAGACAAATATCACATGTTCTCACGTGTATATAGGAGCTAAAAATGCTCCTTACTGGGGGAGAAAGTAGAATGATAGTTATCAGAAACTGGGAAGGGTTAAGAGAGGTTGGTTAACGGGTGCAGAGACACAGTTGGATAGGAGTAAGTTCCAGTGTCAAATAGGAGACTAGGGTTACTCTTGTTAACAACAACATATTTTGTATTTTGTATTTTGAAGTAGCTAGAAAAGAAGACTTGAAATGTTTCCAAGACATAACAATGATAAATACTCAAGGTGACAGACATCCTAAGTACCCCAACTTGATTATTATATATCTTATGTGTGAAAAAATATACGACAAGTATTTTAAAATGTACATATATTAGATAATAATTTTAAAAAATTCCTCACTGGGTGAAGATATTGACAAGTGACATTATTAAAGAAATGATTGATAATTTTTATAAAGAGTTCTTGTAGGTAAACAAGCATCAAATGATTATTAGTAAAAGAGAAGAATATATAAAAATTATATCCATAATAACATTTAACATGTAATGTCTCAGGTAGTATGTTAGATGTTTGATGTACATTATAAAGTCTACAGTTATGTGCTTTATCTGATACATTATATTATAAAGCATATGTATTGTAAATATGCTTTATACACTCCCTGTATATATGCACACACATACACAGTAATATTATGTGACATTTATTAAGCATTTACTATATACTAGGCTCTGTGTTAAGTGCATGTTACTTACATAATTTAATCTTCACAATAATCCTGTGATGTTGGCCTGCACTATTCCTTTTGAGACTCTGTCTCAAAAAAAAAGGAAAAAAGAAAATGAATCTCATAATAATTAAATATTTCGCCAAGGGTTCACGCTTGTTAGCAGAGAAGTCGTCTGACCTGAGAACCTACACTTTGAACCATTATAGTGTGTGAAATTGTAAGTTCTTGTATCATTATTTACACCAGTGAACATTTTGGAAATAGGTGTCAGCTAAATTATGAGGCATCTACAATTTGAAAGAATATGCAGTGGTTAAACAGAATGAGGTAAATAACATGTCTGTTAACCTGAAATGCAAGTTCAGAATATATAGTATGTTGTTCAATGGGAGGAAGAGTTACAGAACTCTACAGATAAATGTTGATACACGTATCTACATATTTAATAAAGTATGTTTGAGTCTTTTTCAAAAGCAATGCCATCTTATATTACCAATTTTAAAAATAAAAAAATATTAGTTGTGGGAATTATAAACTTTTAGGACTATGATTTCTCAATAATTAAATTATTGGTGTGAGTGTGGTGCTTACACAATGTTTAATATACATAACGTAATTATAAAGAAAATGTCAAAATATTCTGTAAAATAAAGCATACTATACAATGTTAATTTTGCTCAGGATATGCACACACACACATATTAAATACTTATGTTTGTGTTAAGATGGATGGAATTATTTCAATATTTTTGTGAATGATTAACCTAATGACTAATTCTCAGTCCTCAAAATATACTGTTAATTATCTTTAAAATCATATGTACATTATTTTATTCATAAGCATCTTAATATCAATGTATTTAATAATCATCAAAATACACCATTGGAGGCTCTGGCAAATAGAGCAGGCCCTGATGCGCCCCTCCTCCCCCAGCACACACATAATTCTCTCTCCTAATTTTCCGTCAAAGTAGAAGTCCCCCTGAGATTTTTCTGCGTAAGTCCACTCTCTCACCCTCAGGTCAGGAAATGAGGCTCATATTTCTTTCCCTGCAATTCTTTCATGCGCCAGGTTTATGACTTCCACCTTGAGAAGCCATTACCAGTGACGCTGAGTTATTATATACCAAATTGAAATGAACCAGAAAACGTGTCTCTCACAATATTTCACAATTCCTAATGCAGGTACAAGCCCTAATAGAATCCCCCAAATTGCCTTCAGAGTTCAAATTGAATGTGAACCACGGAATGCTTCAATTCACACTGGAAAGATCTACCGCGCTGCGCGTTCGGCATAGGGTTAATCTAAAACTGAGGTCGTGAGGGGCTGAGCGGCAGTGGGATGCCCATGAATAACGCAGGTCTGACTTCATCTGTGATCAGCTTTTCCTGCCTTTCAGTATTATAATGTAGACTAACTTTCCTTGTTCAGGTGACACAAACATAAACAGGCAGACCTAAGTTTTTGCCACGTCCTGGCTATTTTTTTTTTTTTTTTTTTTTTTTAGCATTTTATTGAAATACAGTAACAGATACACAGAAAAGTGCACATACGGTACACAGTTCACTCGTGGTCACATACTGAACACTGCTCAGGTGAAGAAGTAGACAATTTCTAGGATCCCAGTGTGGTGCCGTCCCTGTTCATGCGGAGATTTCAAGGAAGCTGCCAGAAAAGCTTCCACACGACAGCGGTGCTTCTCAGCAGGAAGCCTTAAAGCCGTGAGCACTACTGGGCTCGGAGCTCTGCCACAGCCACTGCTCAGGGGACAGCCACTTGCTTCACTAATGGCCACAGCTCAGGGGACGGCCACACTCTCCTCCAATGGCCACTGCTCAGGGGACGGCCACGCTCTCCTCCAACGGCCACAGCTCAGGGGACAGCCACAGCTCAGGGGACAGCCACACGCTCCACTGATGGCCACAGCTCGGGGGACAGCCACGCGTTCCACCGATGGCCACAGCTCAGGGGACAGCCATGCACTCCTCCAACGGCCACTGCTGGGGGTCAGCCACGGTCTCCTCCAACGGCCACTGCTCGGGGGACAGCCACACGCTCCACCGATGGCCATGGCTCAGGGGACAGCCACGCACTCCACTGACGGCCATGCGCTCCACCTACGGCCACAGCTCGGGGGACAGCCATGCGCTTCTCCAACGGCCACTCGCTCTGCCCGTACTTGCTGCTGCTGGAGTAAATCTCGGCCTCCAACGCACGTTCCTGACCTCCTTAGAAGTTCTGGGGATAGGAGCCTCCTTGGCTCTAATGAGGCACCTTTTGGAGAACTTCTGGATACCTTCAGGATGGGCCCTGGGGGCCAGAAAGACCAAGTCGCGATTAGCAACTTGGAACTTTCAGCCCTCTCCCCGTCTTCTGGGGAGGGGAGACAAGCTGGGGAATGAGGTGGCAATCAATCATACCTATGTGATGAAACCTCCAAATAAAACCTGGACTACAGGTTTGGAGATTTTGGAGTTGCTGAGCATCATCATTGCTGAGAGGACCGTGCACCTCAGCTTCACGGGTTCTGAAGCTCCCGTGGGGGCCCTTCAGCTGTCACCCAGTGTTCATCATCTGGCTGGTTATCGGTGCTCTTTGCAGTGTCCTTTATAATAAATTGCTAAATGCAATGAAAAGTTTGTCAGAGTTTTGTGAGTTGTTACAGCAAATTACCGAGGTTAAAGAGAGGTTGTGGGAGCCTCTGGTTTACAGCTACCTCATTGGTCAGAAGTTGACTTGACAACCAGAGACTTGAGATTGGTGTTTGCAGTAGGGGGGCGGTTTAGTGTCAGAATTACATTGCATGACATCCACTTGGTATCTGGAAAGTGGAAGAATTGGTTAGTGTAGGAACCTCCCCTCCTACGTTTTATGGCAGAAGTGTTCTGTAGGTAAAAACATGTTTTCCTGAAAATAGCTTCTCCACTGTGTATCAAACTTCACCTGAGTGCCTCCCATTGCAGAATTAAAACAGAATTCAGTTACCAAGGACATCTGGTAAATGGTATCTCTAGGCTGTATACCCCTATTCTGAAACAACAGTCTAGAAAAGCAGGTAAGTTATTATCATCAAACAGAACCAGATGCAAAGCATCTTCCAAAACCTAGAGTAGCCATCTTTTAGGGACAAACGTGACTTAATGTTTCAATGACGCTGATAGTGGACCAAGAACAAAAAAAATTGAGTGCTTGATATTAACTGTAGGAGTTAAAAAACTCACATTTTCTCCATTGCATTTTACATTTTTAAAAAATTGTACTTATGTTTTTCTTATGAATGGGTATTTATAAATGTTGAAAGATGATAAAATTCCATTGTGTCACCTCCCAATTTTAACCTTCTTTCATCTATACACTTCACTTCCATCATCGTCTTTTTTAAGAAAAATGTATGCAACTTAAAAAATACAATACAGATAATGTACTTTAAAGAAAATAAAAAGAGATGATTGAACCCATAAATAATCTGTTATGGATATCTGAAATATAAAACTTATTGAATACAAATACAATATTATTTATCAGGCCTAAAACATATATAAAAATAATAGATTAATAATACCAAATATTTTGGTACCACTGAAATGTCTTTATTTTATAATTTTTAAAAAATCAGTCTTGATAAATGGTATGCATTATAAATTAGTTGATAAATGCTTGTCTTTTTTAATCTATATAGGTCTTCTCTCTCTCCCTCTCTAGCAATTTAATTACTGACAATTTAAGTGGTTTCCATAGTTTGAATTTGGCTGGTTGGATCCCTGGGGTGTTATTTAACATGTTTCTCCGAGCCGTGTCACTGTTAGATTTCAAGTCTTGATCAGATTCTGGAATATTGTGCTGTGTACTCCCCCAGGAGGCTCATAAGAGTCTCGCTTTCTCTCCTTTGTGTTTTATCTGTTATCTAGTCTTCATTTGTCTTGGATTTACAAAATGGTGATATTCTGACTCTGTTATTCTTCATTTTCATCTGGAGTACTTCCTTAAAGAGAACTTTCACCTCTCAATTACTGAGTTACCCATAAGTACAGCTCATAATGAAAAGTCATCATCATCTGTCAATTTTCAAATAGTTCCCTGGAACCTCAAATGTGGACAATGTGTGCTCAATCCCAGGACCACCACTTTAGAGTTGTGTAATACTGAGAAAATCACTTTTCTTCTCTGTGAATATATATGAATCTGATAGAGATTTTCAGACAATTAGATGTAATTAACAAAATGTTTAAGAACTCAATCATTGTTAACATCATTGCTATTTGTTTAAATCTCCCAGGTACAATCTTCATATATAATCTAGGTTGGTATTTTGTTAGAAACTTCTTGAAGAAGTAGGAGAAAGCAGTGAATGCTATTTCTTAAGGCAAATACTGTTTGGGAAACGACAGTCTGATTAAGTTATGTTTCCTTAGCTGCCAAGTGGGACAAAATATTCTAATAATCTGTAGCCAGCCATTCTAGATTTATGATGTCATGTGCAGAAAAGAAAAAGAGGTGACTGAACCCCTACACAGAAATAATAGAGTTTATTCTTGCAAGTGTTAGTTTTATAACTATGGAAAGAGATACAAATTATGGAGACTTAAAACACTGGGGAAACTTATTTAAGCGCTACATGTGTACCTATGTGTACACACATACATATGTAGTATATTCCTACAGTTACTGAAGGAAAAAACAGTGTGTTGAGAACCGTGTCCTGAAGAATTGGACTATTTCTATATTATATAGAAAAAACATCCATACTTTAAGCCCTTCTGCCATGTTTACATGACCTCTTCTGGGTGAACAGATCTTAAAAAAATGCATGTTTTCAGAGAAGAGTGATAATAAGGAGTTTGAGACAGCAAAATAACAGAGCTAAGTAGTATGAACTTGGTGTAAGTCATTTGACAAAATTTGGCTTCACTCTGAAGTAATATTCTTTTCTGTAGGAATTTTATGTAAGCTTGTAAGACAATAAGAATAAGTGTGCTTATACAGATGGCTAAGGCAGCAGGTGCAAGCATGATTAGTCTCAGGTCAAGACCTCATGTCTCCTATGGCTCATTATTTCACAAGTTTTTATGTCTAGAGTGTACATATTTAACCCAGGTCAGTCATTTTATAGACACTTGTCCAGATTCGCTCATTAGGGGTACATTCTTGAATTTCTAATTAGAAATTCTAATTTCACATTAGAAGAAATATTTAATAATTTTAATTATTTTGATAATCCCCATAATAATGTCAGATTTATACTTTTTGCCACAAATTAAAGTCAACATTAAATTTACTTTATCCATTATTATCCATCACCTGTGTACTGATGAATTACATTGATCTGTTAATTTGTATCTGGGATTTCTGTTTCTTTTCTTTAAAGTCAATGCCCTAAGTCAGGGAAGCAGTGGAAAATCTACAAGGCAAGTAATAGATATGAGTTTACTTTTGCTGTCTGCCAACATAAAACCCTTCCCACATGTGTAGTACTCCACACCAGTGATTTTCAACTGGTGTGCCATGGCACACAGGTGTGTCGTGAGAGGAGCATAGGTGTGCCACAAAGTTTTTAAAGATAATTAATTAAATTATTTTTGAAAAAAGTTCAAAGCACAGTATATATATTCTCTTTCTCTCCCTCTTTTTTATTTTTTTGATCAACATAATTTAAGTGTACCACAGAAGTTTACTATAGGTTCAAGTGTGCCATCAGATAAAAAAAGGTTGAAAATACAGCTCTATGCCTTCAAACGTACAAAGGAAAAGCCTATCTCTTCCTAGATAACCATTAGATTTTAGGCTCCCTTGCAGCTAGCCACACAGCATGTGTTCTATCTCCTTTAATCAATTTCCCTTAGCTTGGATTTTAAATTGGGAATTGTTAAGATTAGGGCAAAGACCATGAAACATTAATTTTGGTAATAGTGGCAACATCATCAAGCCCCAAGGAATAAACACAGCAACATCAGAAGCCGTGCAGTGCACAGAGTGCAGTGTGTGATGCTGATGGGGGCAGGTGTGCAAGCAGGTGGGTGAGGTGTGTGGCATTAGCAGCAGGACCACCCCTCAGAGCTGGTGTCTGATGTGGCAGTGGCTCTGTTCCTAGCTGCTATATAGCTTTCTTTCTTCTTGGCCATTTTTTCAACCTGATTCTCCAGCCTTCCCATTTTGTTTACTACTTACTACCTTTGCATAGTAATGGTTAAATTCACTATATTGCTTCTTCTACACAAAGCAAAGAACCTTAACTGGCATGGGACATGATCACAACCTCAAGAAAATGCAGAAGATCTGACACAGATTTTCTGGGCAGGGTTGACGTGAAAAACTCAGGTAGTATTTGAGGAAAGGATTCTATCCATCATCACCATGTAATGAAGAAACAAAAAAGGGAATCTTGCTGTCTAAACTCAAATCATCTGAATAGATGCTATAATAACTTTCAAGGAAACCAAACCAATTTTTACTAACCAAATTAAAACCCTGGCACAACACACCTATAAACAAGTGTCAGTGAAAACATTTAGGTTGCATGAGTATCAATATGGAAGGATGTAGAATATGAGGTAGTCTTACTAATTTTCTCAATAGATTTTTTTCTTTTGCTTGCATTTAAAAAAATATGTACTTTTGCTATAATTTTTCCCATATGAGTAAGCTTGGAAGGTATTCTTTAAAAAGTAGAAATTCCTGTGAATAAAATAGTGAGCCAAATGGCATCAAAATGTCATGTGTTAGGAAAAAAAACTGGAGCTAATAAAGTGTTTTAAAACAGATGACTATACAAAAGACAACAGCATTGGCCATACATATATCCCCCAAAACTGTGTATGTGAATTGTTTCTATGCATGAGAAAATATAGAAAAATTAGGGAAGTGTTGTTGGTTCCAGAAAATTTCAATGTTACCCATATAAAGCATAATTTTGGGGAAAAAATGTGAGAATTAAATTGCCCAGTGAATTGTGTGTCACAATCAGTGTGAGTTGTCCCTTAACACCATGTTAAATATGATATAGCAGAAAGTGTCAAACGTATTTAAAGATGAATAAGGCCACAACAGAGGATTAAGAAAATTTAGTGAAAGAGCTGAGGAACAGAGTAAGTTCAAGATAGAGCAAGATATTTAAGAATCTTGCAAGACTGCACAATTTAAAGATCATGGGTCAAAACATGTCTACTGATCATGAGGCTGCAATAGTCTACTGTGAA